CGCGCCGGGCAAGCCCGGCCAATCGTCTCGCGAGCTCCGCGAGCTCGGTGCCTGCGCAGGGCGGGGGTGGCCCCACCGCTGGGAGCATGCGCGCAACGCACAAGGTGGTGCCTGTCAGAGGGGCGCGGCGGACTGGGGACACGTGTAGTGGGTCGCAGGAGCCGGGCAGCAGCGCGATCCGTGATCTCCGCCCGCAAGGAAACGATGCAAACGTGTTTTTGAGAAATTGCTGTAATCTTTGACCAGGGAAAAAATATACACTCGAAAGTATTTGACCTGTCAACTTGGCCGGTTTGCAGTCCCTACAATTCATTACTGTAGTCCCAGTTCCTTACTTCCGGTTCCCAGTTCCTTTTTCAAAGCTGATCTCGACACAATTAAAGGTTGTTAATGAATTAGACATGCTGAAGAGCTAGAGTTTCATTAGAAATGTATATTTACTAGTAAAAATTAAAATAATATCATGTTTCAAGTACATCGTGAATAAAGAGCCGAGATTAGGCGGGGATTATGGCGCAAAATCCTTTTCGGGTCACCCCAAGACACACGTCTCCATTAATGAGGAGCACTTCTGGATGGGTCTGAGCAGGGCAGTGCCCAGCCCAAACTGGAGCCTGAAAAGCCTCCTTTGGGAGAGTCCCTCAGTGGTAGAGAGGTGAGGTTTGGGGGTAATCCAAGCAGGATTTTGTCCGGAAATCCCAGCCCAACCTCAGCCCTTTACACTGTGCTGTTTACTGCTGTGTGACTGTCAGCTGACTGGCATAAGAAAAGCAAGCTTTGGGTTGGGCAGCATCCTGCCCAGGCTCGTTCAGGAGTGTGCCTCGGTCAGGAAGATGTGTGATTTGGGCTGACTCAAAGGGAGTTTTGCCCCCTAATCCCACTACGAAATAAACTCCTCATTTGGCACATCATATTTAGCATGCAGGCTTTGAGAGGTGGGTGTCAGGTACCAGGCTAGCAATCAACAACCAAGCATTGGGTTGAGCAGGGACCTGCCCAAGCTTCTTCAGGAGAGTCCCCAGGTGACAGAGAGGTATGTTTTTGGGGTAACCAAACAAGGATTTTGCCCCATAATCCCAGCCCAAAATCAGTTCTTTATCCATAGGAACGTACATAGTCTGGGGGACTGTCAGTTGGCAGGCTAGTACCTAAAAACCTAGCTTCAGGTCAGGCAGCACCTTACCTAGGCTTCTTTGGGGGAGTCTCCCACTGGCAGATGTATGGCTTGGGGTGAGCACTAAAGGATTTTCACCCATAATCCCAGCCCAAACACAGGTCCTTATTCAGGGCATTGTACACTGCACAGGTCTGGGGGGCGGTCAGTTGGCAGGCTGGCATATGAAAACCAAGCTTCAGGTTGGGCACTGCCCTGCTCAGAATTTTTTGAATAAGTCCTCAGGTGGTAGAGACGTATGGTATGGGGTGACCTGAAAAGGACTGTGCCCCATAATCCCAACCTCATCTCAGGTCCTTATTCAGGGCTCTGTACTTGATACATAATGCTGTTTTATAAGTCAACATACATTTCTGATGAAATTCTAATTATTTTGCATGTCTGATTCATTACTAACAACCTTTAACTGTGTAAACATTAGCTTTGGAAAAGGAACAGGGAATAAGGAACCAACTTCAGCCTCATCACTAACAGGCCAGGCTTATCTGGCACGTGGTGGTACTTTCTGCTATGCTAGAATAACAACTCAGACTATTGTGCATTTTTCTTGGAGATGTGAACACAATTTCAGCTCTCTCATTTAACTACATACATAGCCATCATCATCACAGTAGAAACCCTTGCAAGACACAAAAAGAATGAATACTAATACAGGATTTTCTCTGTTGCAAAGAACTCAGAAAGATCATAGCAGGTCATATTTTTTCTTCTTTTTTAACACTATGGATTTTTATTTGAAATAGTTGGGCTTAATCTCATAAATCCTGTCTGCACACCAAACAACGCTAACATTGCATGGCATCCCACAGCAACCTTGAAAGGCTCTCAAGGCATCCCAGTGTGCCATGGCACCCTGGTTAAGAACCATTAGTTTAGGTGCTCCTCCAGAAAAAGGAGTACAGAACCTTAATACAAGAACAAAGATACAGTTTTCACCATTTCATAAAATGTTTATTGAGGATGGTAACACAGGATAAACCATGCAACAGCTCAGTAAAAAGGGAATCATTTAAAGAATATAAAGAATGGGAACTGGTGCTGCTGATTTTCAAACAGACTTATAAAAATCATACTAGTTGTCCAAAAGAGACACATCAAAACTCACTTGAAGCTGAACATGGACATTTCTTGTAATTTTTAAAAGTAAAGTATAAAGTATTAATAAAAAAAAAAAAAATGTAGACCTTGCTTAAAATGATCACTTACAGTTTCCTGAAGTTGAAAATTATCATCAATTTTTCAACCATAGAGTTGCAATAGTAATTTTAATTAATGTGTAGGGCTCTACATCCAAGATGTTTAACTGTCTTTTCCAGAAGGAAGAACAGAACAAAAGTGTTTGCTTGTCTCTAAGCCATGAAATCATACCCTTACCTTCTATGACCTTTATTGCCACCAGATACTTTGCAATTGCCTTCAAGACACGAAAAAAAGTAGATAGCACAAATCATGGTGGCCACAAGAGTGGATCTCTGATATCTTTCTAGTGTTAAAAAGGAGATTGGGGTGGGGCGGGGGGACGACAATCTAGCAACTAATGGGAGAAAAAAACCCCATTTAGCAAGCCATGATTGCCAATTTTAATGGCGCTGACACTTTTCATGAAGAACTCCATGTCAGCAGATGGCACAGCATACTGGGAACCACAACTTCACATCAAATACTGGTGGGTTCATATGTGACAGATATTTGCCTTTCATAAAAATAAATATAGTGGAATGAAAACTGA